TGTGTGTGTGTGCCTGGAAATCATGGTGGACTTCTGGCAAACCCTAGTGGGGCTTAGATGTTTCAGAGAGGTGGCCTGCTATTGCCTGTCTCTGCATCCCGGCCCTGGAGTTCCTAGGAGGTCTCCCATCCAAGTACTTGCCAGGGTCGGCCCCGCTTAGCTTCCGAGGTCTGATGAAATCGGGCTTGCCTGGGCTATCCAGGTCAGGGCCTGTCAAGATTCTTAAAGGCCCAGAAAAACTGGAAGCAGCTCAGGAATCATGCTTTTTCTTGCCTTTCCCCCAAGGGACTTGGAAAAGGTAAAGGTTTCCCTTGCTCAAAAGCTAGTCGAATCTAACTCTAGGGGGCAGTGCTCATCTCCAAGCCGAAGAGCCAGCACTGTCCGAAGACGTTTCCATGGTCATGTGGCCAGCGTGACCAAATGCCGAGGTGCACGGAATGATGTTGCCTTCCCACCGAAGCAGTATGTATTTATCTACTTGCAATTTCTTGCTTTCAAACTGCTAGGTTGGCAGGAGCTGGGGCCAGAGACAGGTGTCAGCTAGCTGCCATAGCAGCTGGTAGGGAGGGGGAAGCTTGGAATGTTCACTTTCATTTCTTTGTTCATCTTGGCGATGCTCCCTGATCTATACGTTTTATGTGCCTGACCTTGCATGCTTAGCTTTAACACCATCTCTGGGATAGTGGAACCGTTACATTCTGGCGGGGCCCCTTTTCCCTCCTGATTGGCTCTGTGCCGCCCAGTGACCACTTTGAACATTGTATATCCATTCACCCCGCGTTTTTTGCTTTAGTCTTAATACAAAACTGAAATAGAGATGCTCTGCCTATACTGTATCAATAAACTTTCCTTCTGAAGAAGCGAGTTGTTGGTTCTGATTTCTGCAGGCGTCTGACAGCGGGAGCTCACTCCATCCTGGACTAGGGTCTTGAACTGCCGAGCTACAGACCTTCCAGTCTGCAGCTCAGCATCTTAAGCTCTAAGCCATCACGGCCAAGGAACTTAGAGAGGCATAAATGGTTCTCCCCTCCTTCATTTTATCTTCACAGCAACCCTAAGGGGTAGGATAAGCAAAGGAGACTCAGTGTAGCGGGCGGAGGTGAACCTGGGACTCCACAGTTTGACCTATGCAAGTTGGCGCTGCAGGCAGGAAGCCAATCATTCAAGACCGCACAATCTCCAGGGCTCTCTTCCCCTCTTCATTTGTCCCTGAGAGTGGCAGCAGCCAGGACACTGCAGACAGAAACGTTGGCAAAGTTCCTCTGTAAGGATCAGCATGTCTAAGCATGAGACTCAGACATCCAACCTGGGGCCATCCAGCCTTTCTCGAAGAAAAGGAACCAAAAAATGATGGCCTGCAGGCAGCATCTGGCTTTCCAGATTCTTTCTGGCCACAGACACATAGATTTCTCCACAGTCAGCATTAATATATATGTTAATATGTATGCATCGAGATAAGCCTGCTTTTATAACCTGCACAGTTACATAGATTGGCAGATAAATTGTGGGGCTGTGCCTATTTCTCCCTGTTTTTTGCATAATTCTGTCAGTCAAGAAGAAGGGAAAGGAACCACCAAGAGCACTGAAACCCAGCCCCCCAACCTCTGGAAATATTGTTTCTGGCTTCTGGGATTACAGCAGCTGTTGACCACACCCATTCAAGCACATCTTTATCGTCTCCAAATGGTTAGGATGGGTCTCATTTTTTGAAATGAGAGAATCTCAGGAAACTGAATACGACAGTAGTGCAAACAACCCATCAATAAGGTGGGGGCTTTGGCCTGTATCCCTGGAAAGGCTCTCCCCTCCCACCTCCTTAAATCCTTCCCCCTTTTATTCTCCCAAACCCTAGGACACTTTGGGGGTTATTTGAGCCAAATTGTGGCCTTCACATTTTTAATATGGGCTCTAAAGGCGGAGAGGAAAGGGTTCCATCCCTCCTGCGCATGACCACACTCTCCCCTGCTGAGTGCATAAAAGAACAGCGGACTGTCCCACGGCTCAATCTCACCCCATCCCAAGTGCTCAAGGATATGCTGGGCCTTCCCAGCTCTCAAGGAAGCTACCCAATACCTGCTGGCCAGCTGGGAAAGTCTTCAGGGAAGACCTGTTGAGTTGATAAAGGAACTCAAAGGCATCCTGCAAAGGAGGCTAAAAACCCTACGTACGTTTAAAGCAGTGAAAACAAGCATATGGGTGTGATGTATTGACTGTTGCCAAATATTTGAGAACAGGAAGAACAATCATTTCTCAGATCCACTAAAGCAAAGCAGAAGCTAGGACAGCTCTGAATCACAAGGGAGCTGGACTGGTCAGCAAACAGCGCAGCAGACATGCTCAGAGCCTCCTTCCAGCCTCAGTTCTCTAAATGCCAGCACAGGAAGGGTGAGGGCACTGCACTTCCTCCCTCTGCCCACAGCATGAGCATCTTAAGCCAGTCTTAGCTGTGAATTTACTGGCCGGCCTTCTGCAAGACAGTCCCTGGGAAGTAAAGCCAGAGTATCCCGTAGGTCTGTGCAGGCAGGCTGGATTCCACAGGCGAGCCACAAAATTAGAAACTGGTTTCAGTATCTGATAATGAATCAGCTTTAATTTGTTTTCAAAAGCAGGTCTCTAGCCCAGGTGCTACTGGACTGAAGTTACACTTTCTAGCCCTTAGGAATGTAGAAATGACTAGAAAATGTGTGGGCCGTTAAGTGGGGAAGTGGCAAAAACTGAAGAAGTTGCAGAACTTCAGCCACCTGAGGAAGGGATTGAGATCCCCGTGAACTGCAGAAGCAGAGTAAATTATGCAAAAATGACAGCATCCAAATTTTCTTAACTTGCATAATCCATACAGATCATCAAATCCAGCTTTTCTCTGATTTGAAGGGGTTTTTTTACAGCCAGTCCTGACTTAAAGAAATCATCCCTCAGGGAAGACAGCTGAGCTGGGTAGAGACTTACTGCAGTGTATCCTAGGACTGTCAAGGCTTCCTTTCATTTCTTGTTTAAAATTGGACATGCTCAATTCACCCGTGCTCTTGAGAAGCCTATCCCTTGTGTATCTGCATGAGACACTGTCTTGGGTATGCTTCCTAACTAGGAGGAGGCAGCTCCAGAGCAGCAACTCATGGAGAGGCACAAAGGGCAGCCTTCTCTGAAAAACTGCTTCTCTGTAGCAGGAAGGGTTAGATTACTGAAACATACCCAATGCAGAGTTACAGTGGAATAACCCACTTCAGTTGGCGATCTTCAGGATCAGAACAGTAAAGCAGGCAGAAAGAAAGCACACATGAAAACGTGAAGCAGCTTTATATGGAAATCAGACCATTGGTCCCTCAAGTACTGTCTACACACACTGGTGATGGCTCTCCAAGGTCTCAGATAGAAGTCTTTGATGTCACCTATCACCAGTCTTTTTAACTAGAGATACTGGAGATAGAACCTGGGACATCCTGTATGCCGAGCAGATGCTCTATCACTGAGTCACAGCCAGTGTTCCCTCTAAGCTGAGTTAGTGTGAGCTAGCTCACAGTTTTTTAGCCTCCAGCTCACAGATTTTTGTCTTAGCTCAGGAAGGACAGCTCCAGAGCAAACTAATTTATGCAGTAGCCAAATCGCTGGTTCACAGCTTTAATGCCAGTTGCTCACAAAGTAGAAGTTTTGCTCACAAGACTCCACAGCTTAGAGGGAACATTGGTCACAGCCCCTCCCCAGCAAGCAGCAGCATCTGTGGATGGGTACCGAGGACTCATGGAGGTTTTACTTATTCTATGAGTCCATACACATAGGTATGGTATGCCCTGGTAGACCGTTTGAGAACTGCTGACTTATTAAACCCCATACAATGTGCTTGAAAAACACCTGAATATTAGTTCTGGTGTTTCTGCAATGGAGGTGAACCTTTACGACACCGATGCCCACACCTCACTGCTCGGAGAGACAGCTCTTACTCTGCTTATCAGTTTATCACCAGAGAAGCTGATGCGCAGGAAGACCATTGTGCTGCTGATAGCTTTCCGGAAAACATGTCCAGAAGGGACCTTCCCCACCCCCTAGATGTCAGGATCTTGAGAGTTCAGCACCAGCCCAGGTCCAAGACCCCATTCGTCCCAGTTGGTAAGGAAGACTTGGGGAGCAGGGCACCTGTCACCACGCTAAGAATGCCTGCACACACATACATGCATATAATCACAAAATCTTCCCGCATGTGGACAAATAACATGCCGAGAAAGAGACAACATATCAGATGGCCTTTAGAACCTCTGATCTGACTAGTGCTAAGAAATTGAGGCTACAGAGATCAGGAAGTCAATGGTTCGGATCATGCCTCTGCCACAGAAGCAACTTCAACATCAGAAAAGAACACGCCATGAAACAGATCGTCAAATATATTGACATACATTAAACTACAATAATATTGATAACCCTTGAAAGATAAGGTACAATGAGCACATAAGCCTCACTAAAGATGTAAATATCGGCATATGCATGATAGGTTATGTCCTTTTAACAACAAACATAGGAAGTCCAACAAACAAGCTTGCCGATTCTCTGATGTTTGCAACTTGCGCTTCAAGGAGAATATCTGTTACAAGAATCCCACAGATTCCCCAAAGATAGCAAAGGTTGGCAACGGGGCTCCAGATACACACCTGTGGCCCCTAGTTTACACTGGATCACAGAAGCACCTTCGGCAAGACTGTCTCTCTCAACCCCAGGTCCCCATCTGCAACATAATCCAGATACCTACCTTGCAGAACAACAATAAGGAATACTGAAAGTAACATACAAGTACTATATGAATGCTAATACTTAAGATTATGAATAATCTCCAGAGCAGAGGTTGAAAAACCGCTCAGAAATATCCTACTGGTTGTCCCCAAGCCTTTCCATGGGCAACTCTTTCTAGTAAACATGATAAATCCTAATATGCTGTTCAGCAAAGACAGGGGAGGGCCATTGCCTGTGCTTTTGGAAGGAGATACAAAGAGACCACCTGAACAGGACAGACTTACCAGCTCATCCAGATTCTTGAGGTCACACAAAGTTATTCTCTGAGTCCTGCTTGGGTAGACAGGCGACTGGGGCCCTAGATCTTCACTCGTCTGCTCAGTCTCCAACTCTCCATAGGTGACCTGATCTCTCATTTCCTCCTCGATTTCTTCCTCCATCTGGATGAGCATGGGAGCCAGCATGCCAAACTTGGAGCCTTTCCTGGCCACCTCCAGAAGGCAGAGGACAAAGTTCTTCTCATTCTTCTTCAGCACCAGGTCATTCGTTTCAAACATCAGGACGTCCTGGATGCCTAGTTCCTGACGGCACCACTGGATGAAGTTGGAGATGTTATCCCTGGCAATGAACGAGCCAGGCACCACATTTTTTGCCTGGAAGATGACCTCCTTCTGTGGAATCTTCATCCTAGCAGCTGCTTCCGGGTGCAGCTGTTGGAACTCCAGAGCTATGCGGTTGACGTTGTTTGCATGCTGGCAGAGGTCGTAGCCAGTCTCCAGAGCATCCATGAAGTTCTCCACCTGGATATCAAGGTCGTAGAGGGTGTTCAGCCATTCAGCCAGGTCCTCTTTCATGGCGTAGAGATACTCCTCGCTGGAACGGAATGGGCGGATGCTCTTGGAAGCTGCCGATTGGATGTTACTCTGGTCAGCCATCTTGCATACTCTCTTGGAGTGTTACTGTCAAGGGGAGGAAATGGAGAGATGCCACACATTAGAACAGCAAGAGAGGAGAGGAAGCCACACCATCTTGTTAGCATGGGCAGGATTTATAAGAAGCCAGCTACACTAAGCAATTCTAATTGCGGACATAGGAGATGTCTGCATGGCTTAAACATGTGAATCTTGTCTTTCTCGTAAGAACATAAGAACATAAGAGACGCCAATGTTGGATCAGGCCAAAGGCCCATCCAGCCCAACACTCTGTATCACACAGTGGCCAGAAATACCAGTGCCATCAGGAGGTCCACCAGTGGGGCCAGGACATTAGAAGCCCTCCCACTGTTGACCCCCCCCCCAAGCACCAAGAAGACAGAGCATCACTTGTCCCAGAGTCCCTAACTATACCTTGTGGCTAATAGCCACTGATGGACCTCTGCTCCATATGCTTATCTAATTCCCTTTTGAAGCCGTCCATGTTTGTAGCCGCCACCATGCTTGTAGCAGTGAATTCCATGTGTTAATCACTCTTTGGGTGAAGAACTACTTCCTTTTATCCGTTCTAACCCGACTGCTCAGCAATTTCATGGAGTGCCCACGAGTTCTTGTATTGTGAGAAAGGGAGAAAAGTACCTCTTTCTCTACATGCTCTTTCCCATGCATAATCTTACAGAGAGAGAGAGAGAGAGATGCAACCCCTCCCCTGGTTGGTACTCAGTTCCATTAGTTTTCAAAATGTAGAATGCAGAATGCACTTTGATAAGGACTCCTTTTTAGGTCCTTCTTTAAGAATGCACTGCCAGAAGACATGACCACTGACTTGAACACCTATTTTTTTAAAAAAATAAATTTATGGAGGATAGATCTATCAACATCTACCAGTGGTGGTAACTAAATGGGACTTCCATGTTCCGGGGCGGTATACTTCTGAAGAGCAAGTGCTGGAAACTCACAAAAGAGGAGGACTGATCGTTTATGCCCTCTTTGTACACTTCCCAAAGACATCTGGCTGGCCATAGTTGGAACCAGGAGGCTGGACTAGGTGGGCCCTTCCAGTGCAATTCTAAACAGAGACACACCCTTCTAAACACGGGCTCAGAAAAGAGTAACTCTGCGGAGGATGGCAGCATCGGTCTAATCCATCAGGGCTCTTCATGTATCCTTAGTAACAAGCCACTGTTTCAAAATCTCTCTTCTAGGGTTCTGCCTCTCAAAAGGGAGGTTCTTAAACACTCGGCAGTGCCTCACCTGGGAAACCTTCAAAGGCCACAGAGAGAGAGAAAGAGAAGGAGAGGCAAAGCACATGCTCCAGTTAGGAGCCACAGACCCTTTTTTCTATTGCTGTTTTACTCAAAGGGAAGGCTTAATGTGTTCAGGTAAGTATGTCTGGAACTCCAGCTTCGTGACTGAGGGGTCACTGTCACGCTCTTTAAAAAAAAACACCTCTTTCTGCTCCCTTCGTCCCCCAGAGTCTCTCCATTCCTTTATTTTGGCCTGTGGGGCACTTTGATGGAGGAGAGGAGGGAATGGATGGCCCAGCTAAAATCCCGGGGATATTTCCAGCCCTCGAGCATCAGGTCAATGTTTTTAAACAGGGAGAACAAGGATCTTTTCATGACACAGAAGAATCCCACTGACTGGCATTGTGATCCATAATCCGGTTAAGCCTCAGCATTAATCTGAGCATTTCAGCAGAACCGGGAGATAAATCGGTCTACACAGGAGGAGAGACTGATGCTTCTGTGGAGGCTGGGGGGGGGAGAAACACTGCTGGCTGGGTCAGAGCTCCAATTCTTTTCAGGTGCCTAAACAAACTTCTTTTGGCTCAAGTCTCCCTGCCTAGCGGATGACTCATACGTTGTATTCAGGAGCCAGCTTGCTGAACTGCATTTCCCATTCAAAGTCTGTGAACTTTCAGGAGGGAAGGGGAGGGAGGACCTCTTTGTACACGCTGCTGTTCTCTCTCTATTCACACTGCCTAATGCTGGGAAAAGATCATATGGGCTGGTTACTTAATTAAACACGGAGATCTGTGTTTACAGGCCAGCCATGCTTCATTTGAGACAAGATTTAGCCCCCGGGTGTGTGTGTGTGTTTTAACACCAGCTTGTACTCAGTCCTGGGGCTAGATGGAGAAATTAAAGTACATATGAGCCTGTACAGAGTACCTTGTGATAACCCCTACTAATTCCACAGCACCTGGGATGAAGGAAGGCGGTGACCAATGGTCAAGCTTTTTAACTTTTATGCATTTCAACACTGAACACTATGCTTCATTTAATGGCTGCCCATTTATCGATCCCCAAGCACTATCCCACTACTAAAAGTTTCCCTTGCTCGAAAGCTAGTCGAATCCAACTCCAGGGCGTGGTGCTCATCTCCGTTTCCAAGCCAAAGAGCCAGCGCTGTCCAAAGACGTTTCTGCAGTCATGTAGCCAGCATGACTAAATGCTGAGGCACACAGACCGCTGTTACCTATTTATCTACTTGAAATTTCATGCTTTCGAACTGCTAGGTTGGCAGGAGCTGGGGCCAGAGACGGGAGGTCACTCCGTCACATGGCACTAGGGTTTCGAACTGCCAAACTACAGACCTTCTGGTCTGCAGCTCAGTGTCTTAACCTCTGAGCCACTGCGGCCCATATCCCACCACTAACCCCAACCTTTAATCATGGTTTATATTTCCTGGTTGTACCAACTTGAAAAGGCTGTGAATTATACGAAGAGCTAGTGTGATGCACCAGTATGCCAGTATGACCCCAGTTCAAATCCCTTCTCAACTGGGAAACCCAGTCTTTAGCCTAACATACTTTCTTGCTAGAAAAAAACTAAGCTCCTTGGAGGAAGGCCATGCTGAAGAATCAATGAATCAGGCTCAAGATTCCTCTAGCTCAGCCTCCTGTTTCAAACACTGGCCTGGAAGATTCCTCTGGGAAAGTACAGACCTTATTGAAGATTATAGCCAGAATCTGGTATTTGGGGATATACTGCCTTTGGACTTGGAGGTTCCAGGTAGCTGTCATGGCTGACAGACCCACTCTCCCCAGACTCCCCATTCCATTTTGAAAGCCACTTATGAGGCTAAGCAGCACATGTGGTAGTGAATTTTATACCAGAGAATCACTTATACGGCCCACGAATTCACTTGTAAGCTGTAAATGCTACATGGCCCAAAGTGTTGGGTATTACAAGTTGAAAACACTCAGTATATCTGGGGTTAAATGTTTATGTTACTCACAGGAAGTCACATGTTTTTCATGTAACCAATGTTCTCACAGGAAGTCACATGTTTTTCATGTAACCAATGTTCTTTAGCTGTAGAACACCCGGGAATTTTCTCCCTGATCTAAGAATTTGATAGGGACTAAAGTGTCAAGCTGTATTAGCATTTTATGGCTCTCTTCCCGTCTTTGTTTGGTGTTCTGAAGAAGAAGAAGAGTAGCCATAATCCCTCTCTTCTAGTTTTGTCTTTGTAGAGAAAGGATGTATCAGATTTTGCGTTGTTGTTATTTTCATCCCAGTTACCCTTCCCATGCTAGAATTTAGTAAAAACTTTATATTTTAATCTCACATAGACTCTGAGTCTGAATAATTTTATTCCGGGACTGCTGGACTATCTTATCTCTGCTAAATACCAATTTTTCAATATCTCACTATCACCCAACACAAAGAGATAACAGCAATCATCTTTCCCGCAAGCGTAAGAAGCAAATCCACAGGGAAGTTGACAACCGCTCAAATTAGACATGACAATGGCAGACACATTTGTTTTAAACCTTGGTCTGCCCCACTTACATATAAAGCAGTAGCCGTGTGCCGGGGGGGGGGGGGGCTGTGTCTTCTCTGCAGAGCAAGAGGAGCAAGCAGATAAGGGGAACTGAGCCATTCCTCCCTCCCCCTGCAAGTTATTTCTTCCCAGCTGAGATCTCTTCTAGTGCTGGAGGTCAGCGGGGAAGAAAAGTGCCCGGGAGAACAGACTTTGCAGATCTAAATTGTGGGTAGAAGGAATGTTTCACACAGTGTGATGCAGTGATTTGGGCATCACACACTAACACCTGGGAGGCCCAAGTTCCAATCTCCACTCACGACATTGACTGACCTTGGACCAGGCATTTTTCTCGGCCTAACCTACCTCACAGGGCTGTTGTGGAGGCAAAATGGAGGAGAACCCAGAACACCTTGGAGGAAGGGTGGGAGACAAATGTGACAGACAGAGGAGCACTTGGCACCTACATCCCCCTACCCACTCTGCTCTGAAGACTGGGCACCCCCACCTGCTGCTTTGCACACAACCGAAGCAGACCCAGATTCGACCAAACCCAGATAGCTATGTTGCATCTAGGCTGCCCCTGGGCCAACAAGGTGTGGGTGTGCACACTCATTCAACAGCTCAAAGCAAACAGAACTACAGAACCATGACTCAGGATTCTGTTCCGAAATGTGTCATTTGAGCCAGAAAGCTGATCCCACTCCAGAAGGAGCCCAAGCCGAGACCCACCAGCCCTTGCTAAAACAAACAGGAAAGAGAAAGTCTCAGCAAGAAGAGAAGGAAACTGATAGCTGGTCGAGACAAGCAGGGCCACCTCTTGTTGACTGAGGCATCAAGTGGAGAACTGCATGAATGAATGAGCCGCCACAGATGACGGCTCCTATGAACTCATCTGTAAAACTTTTAAATGGTTTTATAGATGCCTGTTTACCGCTGCACTATCTAATGATGACTTGCATGTGTGACTGGACTGTCTCAGCTATGACATCACAGGTAGAGCTTTCCTATCCCCACACAGGTAATTTTTTTTAGATTGAGTGCAGCCCCACATATTGGGTCCTCAAGGAGAACACTGAGTGATGAATGCGTGAGCTGAATGCCACTGAAAAATATGGAGTTGAAAGCCTCATAAGGTGAGATTTCTGTTTGGTTTTCAAACGTCCCATTCACACATGAAAATTATCACATGGGTCTTCAATCAGCCCTCCCTGAACCAAGCCCAAACATACTACACCCCAGGACAGAGAACTTCAATGATGCACAGACCTGTGTAAGCCAGCCAGCGCCCAGTTCACACATTAAGCTGCAGGTCACCAAGAAACTCATACACGTGAGATGAGACTCGACCTGCATCTCCGTGACGGTCTCTGGGATCCCTTCTCCCCAGATTCAGGTCGGGCGGTGATCCAACGTGGACCCTCCGCTAGGGTGGGAGGAGCCGTTCAACCCGCCCAGTCCTCGGAGCTGCAGCCACGCGTCATCCCGGGAACCTCTTTGCCTGCTTTCCCACGTGTGTTTTCTTCCGGGAACTTTACCGAAGGAGGGCTCAGCGATTCTGTTTCGACCTCCACAGTTTGGGCTCGATTCTTGGAGAGGGGGTGGGGTGGAGAACAGAACCAGCCCGGCAAGTCGAAGGGCGGAGGGACCGAGACGGATGATAACGACGACGGTAGAGAAGATTCTTCTCTGTTTTTCCGCACCACGCAGGGGCTGGGAGTCTTTTCCAACGAAACACGACGCAACCCGGCCAGCCTTTGCCTGAGACTGCAGCGCCACAGCCGAGCTAGGAGGCTCCGCCTGCCGCAGGATCCTCTCCTCCTAATTGCTGGTGGAATTAATCCGCTCAAAGAGGAGCCCGGCTGGAAGGAAAGGAAGAGGTGGAGCCGGCCGGGGTTAGGGTCCTCTGGTCCGCGCCAAGGTTATCCCAGGTAGGCAGAGCCCGGCGATCCCACTCCGGGGCTCAGCGCCTCCATCTCGCGTTGCGGCAACGACGGTTGTGCGGAGCGGAGCAGGGCCGGCCCTCCTGCTCCTTCTCCTCCTCCTTCCCACTGCCGGCGCCTTGATCTCATCCGGATCAGAAACGGAACACGCCCATCCTTCTGCTCGGGGTCAGTGCCTCGTTTTCCCAAGGCGTTCCAAGTTGGCCACTGGCCAGAAAAAGCCCTGACCTCTAAAGCTGCCCCATCGATGCGTCAGGGCTGGTTTGTGCAAGGAGGGAAAGGCACTCTGCACATGCCCAGAGACACTGATGCGCTTGTTTCCTAATTCGGGGAGGAATTGCGGCTCTCACTAATCACTGTTCAGCCCTAGGAGTTGAAGGGAACTGTTGTTTTTTTAAAGGTCATTTCCTTCCCCCAGCCAGCCCTAGGACTCCAGCTTGCCAGAGGAAGGCAAGCTTTTGTAACCCTGGGCATTCTTCCTCGTCTCCCTCTTCCCCCAAACACAATCTTAGCTACTGGCTCAATACATTCTGTATGTGCTCAAGGACATCCCTGCTATTACTTGGAATGTGACTTGGATTCAGGTTTTGTGATTGGAGCCTGAAGAAAACTCAGGAAAGTGAAGGCTGCAGGCATTCTGCAGATGCTCAGAGAGATGGTTGTCATTCTAGGCTGCAGTCCTATGCATGATGCCTGTGGGAATTCATGTGCTGCAAGCCCTCTTAGGTGAAACCTCAAAAGTGAAATTGCCCCTGAAAAAATACACGTAAAGCCACACACACACACTTCACCACCAGCATTTCAGTTCTAAAACTAGAGGTGCTGCCTCTAATTCCTAGAATTTTATGGGGTAGAGCATGGGGAAGGCAGGGTTTAGGAAGGGGGAAGAGACTGCAGTGGGGTATAATACCAGAGATTCCACTCTCCGGGGGAACCAGTCTCTGTAGTCCGGAGAGCAGCTGTAACTCTGGGAGATCCAGGCTCCACCTGGAGACTGGCAACCCTATTTCCAAATGACCTGAGAACCACGGGGGGCCTTGCAGTTTTGCTGGGGATGCTGGAGTGTGCCACGCTCACAACTGCCAGGGATCTTGGGGTGCAGCTTTTAGGCCCAGGGGTGCAGCCAAGATCAGCGGCGCACAATACGTTGCCTTGTCAGTGATCAGAAGCTTTCCCTTTACTACTGAATGCATTCCAGCACCTCACCCTGGCAATGAAAATACTCTCCAGGGCTTGGTCCTGGTTAAATTAAGCACACATGTGCACACGCACACACAGAGGGTGCAGGGCTAGATTGTCTGTTCCTCTTTGGGCAGGGAAAAGAGTTTTGTGCTTCCCTATTGCTATGGAAACTCCCTGGTTTTCCCTCGCCCTCTGAGAAACACTGGCAATGGGGGAGGGGGGGGAAATACATCCTCTTTTTTCTCCACTTCGAATTTGGAAATAGCCCAGAAAGACCTGGAAAGCAGCGGCTCTGAATGTTAAAGGGACAGGACTCTCTGCTGCAGGCCCGGTTCACAGATCTGAAGGCTCTCCTGGGTGGCAAAGCAGAGCTCAGTGATAAAAAGCACAGTCTTGGTGAGCAGAAAGTCCTGTTAAAGGCTAACAAGCCTGTTAAACGCTAACAGAGCCAGTTTGATGTAGTGGTTAGGAGCACGGACTCTAATCTGGGAGAACCAGGTTTGATTCCCCACTCCTCTCCACGTGCAGCTGCTGCCGTGACCTTGGGTCAGTCATGAGTTCTTTCAGAGCTTTGCTCTCAAGGGCAGTTCTCAAGAGAGCTCTCTCAGCCCCATCTACCTCACAGGGTGTCTGCTGTGGGGAAGGGAAGGGGAAGGAGATTGTAAGCCCCCCTGAGACTCCTTCAGGTACTGAAAGGCAGGGTATAAATCCAATCTCTCCCCCCCCCCTTGGTTTTCCTCTATTTGAAAAAGTGTGCATGCACATGAAAGCTCATACCTTGAATAAAACTTTGTTGGTCTTAAAGGTGCCCCCACTGGACTCTAAATTTGTTCTACGGCTTCAGGCCAACACGGCTGCCCACCTGGAACTAAGCCTGGAAAGGTTTCCTCTGACCCCTGAGAGATGCTCTCAGCCGGAATAGACAACGGTGGCTGAGATGCACCGATAATCCAGCTCTGCATAAAGGAGTTGCAGTCATACTACAGAGTTATTGATAAAGCGCAGAATGGAAACAATTGTGGGCAACACATCCCCTAAGAGCAGGAGCAAAGTGGGATGTTAAATCAGCCCTGAAATGAAGCAAGCTTGGGCCAGTGGGCAAGCCTGTACCTGTTGCTGTCATTGTTGCAGTCCAGGTCCGATCTGAGCGGGCACTATGGCACTGCCCATTCAGGGGCTGTTTGGCTGAGCTTCACCCTGGAAACCTGCTGCTGTCCATGAACATTCCCAGGAAGCTGAAGGGCCTAGTCCACCCCTGCTTAAAGGCAGCTGCCCTATTCCCCCCCCCTCCCTTGGCCGACGTCCTCCCTCCCCCTCAGCTGCAATAACAAACAGGACTGTTGGAGAGCAGACAGAAGCAGGCTTACACAGCAGCGGGGTGGGGTGGGGGGTGCACAGCCATTTCAGTGAATTTGGGGTGCTAGTCAGGGTGGGAGAATGAATGGGAGGCAGACAGACCTGGTCTGATTGGCCGTTTGATTGCAGTCCCACAGGAGATTCTCTTGCATAAGCCCCCTTTGGAATGGATTTCCGTTTGGACGAGGCTTGTGTGGGAGAACTTGCTGCTGGGCTGTGTCCCCAGGTTAAATCGGTGTGTGACTGTGAAGTAGGGTTACCAACCTCCAGGTGCGGCCTGGAGAACCCCTGGAATTACAATTGATCTCCAGATGACAGAGATCAGTTCCCCTGGAGAAAATGGCTGGTTTGGAGGATGGACACTATGGCACTGACCCACTGAGTCCTCCCAGGGATCCACCGCCATATCTCTAGGTATTTCCCAACCCAGAACTGGCAACCCTGTTTTGGAGCCATGTAGATTTCTCATTGATCGAAATTTGAGAGGCCTAGTTCTGGCGAGAAGGTCGGTGGCCAGTGGGGGGTCCACGGTGGAAATCTCAGAGGCTGCCTCCTTTGTGGCTTCTTCAGAGTTCACCAGGTTTCTGTGAACTGTGCTTTCATGTCTCTTGACTGAGACAAGAGACGGACTGCTGAGTTGCCCTTCAGTGGTTGCTAAATGACGTGTGGGGGCAGTCATGGCTGGCTGACTCAGTCCCCACCTCCAGATAATATCTTTGCTGTGTTAGTGTTGCTGGGTTTCTAATTCTCTGTCTCACACATTGGAGCAAAAGTTCTTTGCAGAATGGAAGAAGCAAACTGTCCCTGAAGACTACAGTAGCACCCATAAGAAATGGTGCTAGTTTTCTAAAAACATTTCTACTAACAAGCCCCATTTTATGTATATAATAGAGTAAAAACTACACCACACCATTGGCTGAGCAAACGTGATGTAACAGAATCTCCATGAATATTCTAACTTCTGAACAGGAAGGGCCAATCATGAATGATGCTGGTCAGGTCTGTAAAATTTGTGCCAGGGAAGTGAAAGCCTAGGAGGATATGGGAACAAGAAGGGATGAGAGAGGCAAGAATAAAGTGGATCCTATGGTATTTAGGGGAAAGGAGTGAGAGAGAAGGACAATAAAGCCTCAGGACTGGAGGAACTGTTAGTGGGAAGGGATGAGAAGAAGTTATTTATTTTATTTATTTATATTTAAATTTATACCCCGCCCTACCCCGAAGTTAAGGATGGCAGAATTTTTAGTGCCATACTAAATGGAGCTACACCTTTCTAAATTCACTAGAGACAATGGACTTAGAAGGGTATAACCCTGGATAGTATTGCACTGTATATTTTGATTCAAAATATTCTCTTGATACTTGGCTTTAAATATCTATTGTAACATTGTTTTGCAAAGAGCAGACCCCCTTTCTGCTCAGAAAAAATAATCATATTTTAAGATCACCTACACACGCGTTTCCTGAGTTTTCAGAACAGAAGTTAAAGATGAAAAAAAAAGTTGGATTTATCTTTCTCAAAATTTGACATGAGGGTTTGCACAATTCCTCCTATGACGTTAGGGCTCTGGTCATTCTGACGAGTGAGAGGCTCAATTAGGAATTGTGGTGGCACCATTTCCATTTCAGAGAAGGGGTTTGCAGCCTTCCCCACCCATAATCATGTTTGTCTACTCTGTCATCAGAAAGGAGGGCAAAGTCCCTTCCTCACCCTCTAGAGATATGTACACCTCTTTTTCCTTGTTAACACTGAACTAGCTAAGGGTGAGATGATTTCTTCCACACAATGTAGTTAACGTCTGTGCTTCTTGCAGTGATACAATTCTGTGCAGAAGTTACAAGTCCTGATTGTCATTCTCCTCCCCATGATACTGCACTGAATGCTGGGAATCTATCCCATTTCCCATGGCAGCTTGTGTTCTCCAGGC